TAATCTGTGTACGAAAATGTTATATAAATATTAAATAAGAAAAAAAAACAGCCCACTGCTCTGTTGTGTGGTATTGCAATTACTATTTTTTATTTGACCGCAAAAAATTTGTGTATCACGTTGTCGTCGTCGTCCGAGGACACTTGGTTTCTGGACAATAACTTTAGTTTAAGTGAATGGATCTTTATGAAATTTAAACACAAGGTTTTAAACCACAAAAGAAAGGTTGGAATTGATTCTGGGGGTTATAGTCCCTACAGTTTAGGAATTAGGGGCCCAAAAGGGGTCAAAATAAGCATTTTTCTAGTTTCCAGACAATAACTTGTGTTTAAGTGTATTAATATCTCTGAAATTATACCACAATTTTCCATACCACAAAGGGATGGTTAGGATTTACTTCAGGGGGTTATGGCTCAAACCATTTAGGAAATTTGGGGCAAAAAAAGGGGGAAAAACAAGGGTTTCCTGGTTAGTGGACAATTAAGACAATTTAAAAGCAGTGTAAGGGAGGTAATCCAATCACATTTAAAGAACAATGTTGTGCAATTTTGGATAACCTCCCTTACACTGCTTGTAAATTATGTATACAGAAATTTTGTATTGTCTTGAGGTGATTAGCTGTCAATTTAATTAGAAGTTACTATTAATTAATATTAATTTTAGCCATATGTCATTTTCTATTTGAAGACTTTCATGATGTATTTAAATGGGTAATTATGGTTGCAAACTCCATTAGAAATTTGAAATGGGATTATGACCATATCTTGAGGGAATGAAAAAAAATTTTGGAAAAAGGGAAAAGGGGGGGGGGACAATTTTGACCCAACCCCCACCTCCCCCCCCAAAAAACTTTTTTTGGGGGGAGGTGGGGGGTTGGGGGGTTGGGTCAATACGCAACAGCATAGTGTATTGCACAAAAGCTAAGTTCTTTGACTACAGTTATTCTGTGTCAGAAACCTGTTATGTGTCAAATATTTAATTACAATCCAAATTCAGACCTGTATCAAGCGTGAATATTGTGTCCATATTTTCCCCAACTGTTCAGGGTTGGACCTCTGCAGTCGTATCCAGCTGCGCTCAGCGAAGCAATTTATTGTTATCTATAGTATGCTTATTTATGAGTATAAATCTGTAGTTGTGATATATGGGATTTAAAGGAGAAGAAAAGGTTGATATGGACATTAATATCCATTAATTTAGTTACTCCTTGTACAGTAAATAAGAAATTTGCAGGGGCGTTTCCAGGATATTTGAAAGAGGGGGCGTAGAATACAATCTGTTTTTTTGGACCTTTTTTTGGCTAAAAAACATAAAATAATTGTGAAATGCACGAATATAACGATTATTTGACTTGGAGCATGTATATTTTATAGTTAAAGTGTCAGGGTTTGATATTTTTATGCCAAATTCTCTCCATTAATTGTCTATGGTATATTAAAATGATTGGATAGATCTTAACAGCAGTAGACCAATAACGAGAGATTCCAAATTCTAGGGTATAGGGCGTTACTTTACATTTCAATAGTCCTAGGCCAGGATTTTATGAACGGGAGGTGTAATTCCGGTTGCCCTGGTATAGGGTCCATGGGGAAGGTCAGAAGCTCCTGGATTTCAACAATTTAGCATCAAATTATGAAGTATTATAACAGACTCCAATATAGACAAATTGGTGAAAATAGTCTGCCTTCGGATCATTCAAATTATGTATTGATTAACATGTGGATATCAAATCTTTGGGAGAAGTTATAAATTCAGTTAAAAGGTTATATGAAATGGGCATGACAAATGGAAAATAAATCTTTAACGATAGCTTTTTCTGAACTTTTGATATATATATATACCCGTTTTGTTAAAATATACCTTTTCACTATTTTGGTCTTTTGGAAAATGTTGTTTGTGCTGTATTTAAACCCCTTTACCAAGAAATTTGTTTTGCATGCACACGTATAAAAATTGCGTTTTTTATCCAACGCAATCATAGGTTTGAACGTTGTTTTCAATTTAGTAGATATAAAAAGATGTGGTATGAGTGCCAATGAGACAACTCTCCATCCAAGTCACAATTTATAAAAGTAAACCATTATAGGTCAAAGTACGGTCTTCAACACGGAGCCTTGGCTCACACCGAACAGCAAGCTATAAAGGGCCCAAAAAATTACTAGTGTTAAACCATTGAAACGGGAAAACCAACGGTCTAATCTATATAAGAAACACTTATGAACCACATCAACAAACGACAACTGCTAAACATCAGATTCCTGACTTAGGACAGGTGCAAACAGTTGCAGCGGGTTTAAACGTTTTAATGGTACCAAACCTTCACCCTTATCTGAAACAATAGTGTAACATTGTATTTATAATACCCCGTTCTAGATAGTCAAATCTGACCCCTTCCAATGCAAGGCGAAAAAAACATAACCCCATTTCAGACAATTTAGCTGAAAATGCAACCCCGTTTGTCGGAACATACCCGGTATCATATATATAGCGAGTATCCCCCGGGTAGATGTAGAATGGCCATTGGGGAAGTGTCACACAAAACAACCATTTTATGTATAGATTTACTTACCGCTTTGGTTGTTTAAAAAAGGTGTCCAAGTCACCCATCGGATGGGGGAATCAGTATAAAAGAAATCAGAGTATGTGTTTAATTAATGAATATGATAAATTGCCATATTCAATAAAATATAAGCAGATAACAATAGTTTTTTTTTTTTTTTTTTTTTGAAAAGGGGGGGCGTACGCCCATTATGCCCTTACCTGGACCCGCCCCTGATTTGCTACTGTCAGTTGGCTCGTATATGTGTTTCTTTTTGTTTTTTTGTGTGTTTTTTTAGCATTAAAAATATGTGAAAGTTTTGAACTTGATGACTGGTGCTGATCCAGGATTTATGGGTGCTAGGGACTGCCTTTAAAGGAATACAACAGTCAAATTTTTAATTGTTTTAAAGCTATATTGATTGTAAAGTGGCATTTGAAATTGAAATTATTCTTATATTTGATAATAAATTGATAGGAAGGTATTTTATTTCAAGTGCTCAATCCAAAATTAAAAAAGTGTCATGGCCAAACTGGAAAAATTTCTTGTAAGTTTTTTAAGGAATATGTAAATATTAGAATGAACATAGTGTGCTTATATATGAGGCCAGTAAAAGAAGACAAAGACATTTATTTTCATGAAATGTTTTGGTAATCAGATATACAAATTTGCCCGCTATCGTTCCAAATAGCAATAATAAGTTAATCTCAATCACTGATATTGATTTAATTATTCTCCCCTCACCCAACAAAGTCAGGGAGGGGAAATAGTGATTGGTGGTTTGTCTGTTTATGTGTTTGTTTATCCATCTAGCTGATGTTTTTTAACGAGGTCCAGATCAAAGCAATACAAATTATAAATGAATGATGTATTTAGTAAAGTTCTACACTCACATTATATTACAATGGCCTTCACTTAACACAGGAATGTCTGTAGTTAAGTTTTATGTTAGGTATAGACTTTAAAAACCACCAGTTAAACAGAAATAATTTTGTCATTTGAAGAATTGTGTTGGGTCACCTTAATCTTCATTTTTATGCATGAATGACTTTGGTCAAATTTTCTGTTTAGGTCATATTCTAAACAACTACAAATCATAATTGAGTAATGATCCTTTATCAGTTAAAACCTACTGTGCGAGACCCTCGTGGGTAGTTAAGGTCATTTAACCCCCTAGTTTTATCAGTTGATGCATTATGTATGGGACAAAGGTCCAGTCTAAAATGACCTTGACACCCACTAGTATTTAAAACAATTTTAATCCACTCTTGTTTCTGATAATGTCTGAATTTATTGAAATTCTTAAATGATGAGTTTTCATTTAATTCACTGTGTGAAGGCATGACATCACATCGACTTTTTGGACTTTTCTTCCATATATTCATTTTTAAATTTTATGTCAGAATAATATATAGATGTTTCTATATGTCGTGATGATGAAGTAGCACAAACATTCCAGCTTTAATGGTATATTTATTTATATGGTATCTACTTATTTAATCTTAAAAGAACTTTGTAGTAATATATATAGTGATTGGAATTTCCTTTAAGTCAATATATTCTACTATTATTGAGTGTCATATAACTGTATATGTCAAATGTGAGATAAAGTTCAATTGAGCCTCTTGTTTTGGGGTTTCACTGGCAGATCAATACTAAATGTTAAATTGATTATATTTTAGTGTTAATATTTAAAAGTATTTTAACTTTCACTTTTAGTTTTATTATACATGAATCATATTATACACTTAAATAAACAATAATCTATATTGATGCATAATAGCTATATAGAAGTTTTGTTTTTGTTAATATTTTTCTGAATTACCTTTTACATTAGTTTTAAATAATCTTTTCTTTCACTTCCCAATTTAAGAAAATGGCTGTCTATTATAATTGGAATTTCCCTTTGCTATTTTTTACCATGTCAGATGATATGCATTGAAAGGGAGTTAACTCAAATTCTTTACTTGGCTACAAATCATTTTGTTGGATTGCACTTAAATTAGTACAAGGGTAGCTACGGTATATTGCTGCTATGATCTTTAGCTGAAGCTGTTACATCTAATGTCTGCTGGTATGACGTTACAAAATATTTGAACCCTTAATATATATAGTTCTTTAAGTAAAAACAAAATTACCTTGATCATCATTTATTGTCCTGAATATGTATGAAATATTTTAAACTATGAAGACAACAATCAAACAATTAATTATCATAACCCTGTTTGAAAAAATATGGAGTTCACTGGTTTATATCTGTATGTCTGTCCTTCTGTTGTCTCATCAAATTAATGACTTACTGTAATTGTAACTTAAAATCCTTTATATAAAATGTCTGAAATTCTTTGTCCTGAATGGATCTGGTCATAATTTGTTTAAGGTTTCCCGCAGTTGCCAGCTGTAATCTTTTGCCTTCCATGACAAATTATATTCTAACTGAACTATTTATAATTATTTTCAGCTACTTCAGACAGAAAATTTAGACTTAAAACTAACGCCATATAAAGTATTAGCAACAAGCAGCAAACATGGTAAGTGAATTATATAATTATACTCCACTTTAAAAGCGTTTGCTAGTTTGAAATCACACTGTACATCCATTTGACTTTACAGAACAACTTCATACTTGGTCAGCAGCTTAAAATAGATGAGTTGTTAAGTATGTGGAATTTTTTCCCTTTCAAACACCTGCATCTTGTTTCCCCATACTTTTAACTTCACTGTACAGAAGAGAATGACATGGTATCATACCTGTCAGCCTATGAAAATGAAAATGCAGGTCATGACCTGCATTGAAGAAGAAAATCTCAGGTCATAACGGGTACAAACTTTTTTCAGCTGAATTTAAGTATTTATGGGACATTTCTTTATATTTTAAATGTAATAGCTTCCAAAATATGTTCACATGGTGATGTACTGACTGAAAATAATTTAAAGCTTTAATTTTATTTTTCCTTGCCATTGTATTTTGTCATCAACTTAACAATAATAAATTGTAACGTGCAAGTGCTTTTTGGATCTGTGAGACAACTCCTTACTATTTGCCAATATTCAAAATTTAATGTGTTGAATTAGAAATAATATTTTTGTCACAGTTTCAGATACATTGATTTAATAGAGGGGATATCCTTAGCATGACAATAGATGCATTTTTATTAAACTTTTAGAAGGTGAAGCTGTGCATTTATCTGTAATTCAGCAGTATTATTTTTTGGCTGGGTTGAGTCCAAAAGTAGCTAATAGCATGGGGAAGTTGGGTAGATGGGTGGCAGGACTGGCTGTGAAATCAACTCCTACAGTTTTCAAACCCGATTCGTTAAACTTCCCATGAATATTGCATATATGCAAAAATGGTGCACCTGCTATTATGGAGTTATTTCAGGATTTTCAGTCATTTTTCAGCAAAATTTATGAAAAAGGGTACAAGTTTTCAAATTCTTCTTCACCTTGGTGTAATAGCACTACCCTATAAACATTTCACATTAATTAGTCCCAAATAATGGAATCTGGCTATTTGAGACTTTGACCCCTTTTAAATTATATATTTGTTTAATCTAGTAATCTAAAACAAGTTTATTATTAACTTATTAATTGCCAGTAACTAATGACCAAGGACCAACAAGTACTCCAATGATCTTTTTTTTTCTTTAAACAAGGAAGATATACATTTGGAAGATTGGGTTTAACTGTTGTAATGATGTAATATCTTTGAAAAAGTGGTTAGATATAATTTAATTACTTCTAAAAATCTTATTAAGGAGCAAAAAAGCTTGATTTCTAATCAACAAGCACCATTTTGCTTGTGAGAAGGAAAAATCAATTAATAAAATGATGTCAGAAAGGAAGATGGGATTTTGTCTATGACAATTAGAAAATATCTGTGATCATTTATAACACAGATATATTCAAAATGTTCAACCTAATCCAGAGTATATATGCAAAAATTTCACTACAGCTATATATAATGAGTAAATTTTCACATTGAGATTTAAAAATTTTAGAAATAGAAGACTCTTTATAGATGTATACATTTTCTTACACAGGTTTTGTTCAGATGATTGAAGAATGCCTACCTTTAGCAGAACTATTAGCAACAGATGGGACTATACATAATTTTCTAAAGAAGCATGCTCCAATGGAAGGAGCAGCCTATGGTATCTCACCAGAGGTCATTGACAACTATATTAAAAGTTGTGGTAGGGTTTAATTATGTGCTGTAGACACTCTTTATTTGAAGTTGTTGCTATGTATCTATACTACTAATATAAGTTATATGGTTTGCTACTGACACCCTACAGATCCATAGAGGGTTAGTTCAATCCATAGGGGGTGAGGCCGAAGTCCGAATTTCCTATGGATTTTATTCACCCTCTATGGTCCGTAAGGGGTCAGTAGTGAACCGTATAACGAATTTATCGCACGCTGGACTTTTCTGCTGCGTTTTGTAGAAAAATAAACAATGAAATACAACAACATTAATAGATGACGTCACCATTAACAGTAGACATGACGTCATCAACCCCTTATGAAATTTACTAACCCCCTACGGATCAACAGAGGGTCACCATGTGACGGCATTAAACTAATCACAACATGATAATTTACCCATGGTGCGATAAAGGAAGAAACCGATTTCATTGAGCCGCAACTCCTCTAAAACCATACAAAGTGGGAAATATTTGTGATATGATGTATAAATGTAGTGTTTTGTACTTCCTAAATTTGTCTTTGAAACAATCTTTTTTGCACAGAAAACGCCAATTCTTTAGAAAATATCCAAATTCGGAGACCGTTATTGATCCGTGTCTTAATTGCTTCCTCGCATGCTCAGTCGACGTACTGCCCGGGAAATCTATTATACTAAAATAACGAGGTCATGAACTGTGTCATTATACAGGGATTAATACTACTAAATTCAATCTTTGTCACATGAATTTTCCGGTTGTAGTAAGAAAATCAGGACGGGTTCAAACTGAAAGAATTTGATAGCAGAGAAAACTATGCACCTTATAATCCGCACGACTTTCAGATGACAATACGAATACTAAAAATCCAGGCTTAAAATAAGGCGTAGGTACTTTAATTGTGTCATGTATTTGTGATGTCGCGGGTAATTTCTAGTTTCATGTATTGGAAGAGCTTTGGTCTTAAAAAGGCAAAATAATCATGGATGAGATTGATCCTCATGATAAAGGTCCTGAGGTTACATTTTCTTTTAAATAAGAAACATAGTTTTTGATCAAACAGTAGATCATTGTTACCTAATTTCTGTGTTATTGATACATTTTATGTTTTCCATTTTAATTCTGAATCAGAAACCGTAAGGTGGGAAATTTTTAGTGAAGGCTTCTTTCTTTGCTAATTTTGCAAAAACATTAAAAATACCCCCCCCCCCCCCCCTGTAAATTTTATCTATAAGGAAGATTCAATGAAGAAGCAAGAGAAACAAGAAAATATATCTTCTTTTCCAGATTTGTTCCTATATATTGTGAATTTAAACTTTGCAAAAAAAAAAAAAAACGTTTCACAGCATTACTTTGCTTTCATTCAATTACATATATTTAAACTACCTGCATTTATCATGATGATTGGATTTGATACAATATAGTCGAATATTAGTTTTTTTTAATACTTACACCTATATATCATTAAAGCAACTAGATATCCTGCATTTGTCATGATTTACCATAGAATAAGATCAAATTGCTGACAGACTCCCTCTAAAACTAATGAAATCTATACTTTTGCATTAACCATGATACATACATATTATAATTTCACATGTACACATTTTCGTGTCGTCCGAAGACGCATTGGTTTTAGCACTCTAACTTTAGTTTAAGTGAATGGATCTCCATGAAATTTTACCATAAGGTTCAATACCACGGAAGGAAGGTTAGGATTGATTTTGGGGGTTATGGTACCAACAGTTTAGGAATTAGGGGCCAAAAAGGGGCCAAAAATAAGCATTTTTGTAACTTCCAGACAATAACTTGTGTGTAAGTGTATGGATCTCTCTGACATTGTACCACAAGGTTCCTATATATTTATATAAATTAATAAAATGTTGAATAACACACAATCTACTTGCTATAAAAATATCACCCAGTTTGGGGATTCCTAATTTCTAATTGATCTGAGAGACTTTAGTTCTAGTTGTAATATTACCATACTTTTCAATTCCCAAATATTGAAAAATTATATTAAAAACTCAGTGCAAGATCCATAAGATGATATATTCCTACCAGCTATTTCAAAGAGTGCTATAATTATAATCTTCGTTGGAAACCATATAAGGCGCATATCACCTGCAATAGTGGAACAGAATATCTTAATCTTTCTCAACAAGGCACAGGTTTGAAATTGAGCAATGTGTTATTGCTTTCTCTAGAGGAGTGTAATTGAGCTAACGTTTTGTATGGGTAATAGCGATTCTTGGTGAACTTTGTAACTGCAAATAACTATACAGTAAACTATGATTACTCCTTAAGAGTAGTTATGATCTGGAAAATGAAAAGGTGTAGTTATATATATAGTTAACATTTTTGTCTTTATTACAGCTGGTTACTGTGTAGTGACATATTTACTAGGTGTTGGTGACAGACATTTAGATAATTTACTTCTGACAAAAAATGGTAAGTAAACACAACAACACAGCATTACAAAATATGAAAAGTATGGGATTAAATGTGATTATAGGAAAATGAAATGCTTAATTTATTTTTAATTTCTGGTAAAGTATTTTGTTATATTGGATATCAATATTTCTAAGATCATTTATATACTTCTAGACGCCTTTTGGTCTTTTTTTGTGTTGTTATGTTGCTGTCTTATTGGGGTATTGCATTCATCTATTATTCAAACAAAACAAAACAGTATAAAGCAGAAACTTGAACAGGGAGATCCTTGATTTTTTAAAAAGATTAAAAATACTTAAATATCCTTGTTGCAAAATGGAGTTGACTGATTCAAGAAAACATACTTGTGGTATTATGTTCAAAGTAATTCCTCCCTAATGTTAAATTAATTATGAAACAAAAAATGATTGGAAATCAATTAACTGTTATATTTTACTGCTTCTTTTATTTATTTTCAGAAAAAACTATTCCATGTAGATTTTGGTTATTTGATTGAACGTGTTGCTATATTTTAGTTTCGTTTATTTCTAGGAAAATTATTCCTTGTAGATTTTGGTATAATACTTAGATTCTCTGTTATATTTTACGGTTGGTTTCATTTATTTCCAGGAAAATTATTCCATGTAGATTTTTAGCTCACCTTGCCCGAAGGGCCAAGTGCTTGGGTCCGTCGTCATTGTCGTCGGGTTCGTTAGCTTTAAACAAAAATCTTCTCCTCTGAAACCACTGGGCCAAATTTAACCAAACTTGGCCACAATCATCATTAGGGTATCTAGTTTAAAAAATGTGTCCGATGACCCCGCCAACCAACCAAGATGGCCGCCATGACTAAAAATAGACCATAGGGGTAAAATGTAGATTTTGGCTTATATCTCTGAAACCAAAGCATTGAG